CAATCATAGTGCAGCAACTGCTGGTACACAGGGCAGGCCTGTGAAGATAAGATTATGTTTGTATATTCAAGTGCTGCATATAGGGCTAATAATAAAAGCAGCACACAGCGTATGAACTCCAGAAGAGTTGGGAGGTTTGTAGAACCAGATCACACCTGCCTTTCTTCCCGCTAACCCAATCTCCTGATTTTCACATTTGTGGCTAACCAGCTTGTTACCATTCAAATGCGAGGTATATTATGGACTCTATTGCTTTGTTAAGGTACAGGTTTTGTCCCTTTGACAACACTGAAAACCAGTAACATGTTCAAATCAGAGTAGTGTTAGTGTTCTGCTTTGGGAGACCTGACTTGACTTTGCCAAATCATTATGGTTTGATTATCTCGGCCCAGGAAGTAATGTTTTCACCCCTGTCTATTTGTTTGTTGGTTGGTTTGTATGTTTGTTCGATTGTAAGCAAGATAACAAAAAACTACTAGATGGATTACAATGAAACTTGGAGAAGGGATGTGGAAGGGAAGAATGCATTTAAATTAAGGTGCAGATCCAAGAACTTTTCGTGTGGGTTCTAAAATCCCTTTTTTGTGGTAAAGTGAAGCATAATTCTTGAAATTAACAACAATAAATCATAACTGTATCTGTAACCACTGTGTTGTGTATTTTAATAGTAGATGTGTAAGCAGCTTTGTGTAAATATAAACAATTAATTATTATTTCATAATATTATTGCGATATTATATGGGGACTGAGTGCAAATGGTCATTTGGCATTTAAACATTAAAAAAATGACATCAGCAGAAGAAAAATGGGTTAAATGCAATTCTACAAAAAAAACGAGTCTGTACATACACAGAATCTGAAGCTGAAGATAAATCTCCATTATGTGAAACAGAGAGACATTATAATGTCAAACAGACTAGCAGCAGTATCAAGGTTTCAATATCAGAGTCTGATGCAGAGCATGTCAGACTAACCAGTAGATACAATGCACCAGAGACAGAACAGGGAAAATAAACATTCTCTATGCCACAGAAGCAAATCCTTCATTTAGGTTACATGGACACTTTTCCTGTGCCAAGGTCAACTCCACAATATCAAAACACAAGATCAAAAAACTGCAACTTGTTTATTGGAAAATCTGGCTGAGCATCTTGGCAGGAAGATGAAAAGATGACTCACAAGGAGAAAGCAGACAATGAGAATCATGGGTAAGGCCTGGTAGGTCCTGATTGGCTCTGCAGCAGGGACCAGACTGGACCGATCCAGACTAGGCTGAGTTCACAGCGCTGCCACCTAGGGCAGGGGACCAACAGAGAGGCACAGGCTGAATGAATATGCCTATTCATTTTGGTAACAGTGCATCCAGCTAGGCAGAGAGCATGAAGCAGAAACAGAGAGAGACAGAGACGGGTGAGAGCTTTAAGAAGACATCTTGGTCATGACTGGAAGGGTTTGGACTAGCAAAGACTTTGAAGAATGAAAGGAGGGAGGCAAAGGACGACGGGAAGTTGGTTTGAAAGAGATAATGATGTATCTCCTTCGAACAATGGGGACGGCAGAGAAGCAGCAGTGGTGTGACCTTTGAATAAAGAAGCCAGTGTAAAGATGGTGCATGTGTGATGACTCTTTGTTGGAAAACTTTCACAACTTAAACTTTAGCCCATTAACCAGTACTCTGTATGCTGAACACTACTGATGAGCTTATTTCACAGCATGTTGTCCTGTCCCCAGTGCAGGTATAAGTACAGCAATGCAGCTAGTTAAACACACTGACAGGAGATGAGCTTTTAAGTTTTGTAATACTGTGATAACAGTATTTGCAAACCTGTCTCAGAGAGTTTATTTACAGCAAATATAGAGTAAGGATGTGATGTAGGATCAAATTCTGTTTTCTGTTGAAGTAACAAGAGTATATTGAAAATGTGGTTAATCTGACGTAGAAATTTAAAATAAATAACTCAATTTTTAACCAATAACCATGGTTTTGCTTTATAATACAAAATCATTTTTTGTTGACTAAACTTAACCACCAACAGGAATCTAGATGCAAACCCTGATGTGACAGAGGTTTGCTTTGTACACCCACCACCAGCCAACTCAACATGTGCACACTACAGTAAATGTACATGATCCATATTACAGTCTGTAGGTTATGTCTTCCATATTAAAAAGGTCAAAAGAGTAAAAGCAAAAAGTGAAATACATAATAGTTGTTCAGAAAGCATGTGTTATGACTAGCTTGGTTCGCACTAAACTGAAGAAACTGCAGACGAACAAAATAAATTGATAATAACAGAATAGCGATAATCAAATAGATACTTGATAACAGTTCACAGACACCACTCACATAATAGTCAAGATGATAACAGATAGAAGATGTCTGTCATTATTTGCTTGGTCACAGAACTGACAAAATGTTGGGGGGAGCAACATCAGTTAACTGCAACTGCTATGAAACTCTGCCAGCACTGGTTGCAAACATTTAAGATGTGCGACTGTTTTCAAAACAACTTGTCAGATCCACGTTCAACTTAATTTATGATTCAATTCAGTCTCCTGAGTTGTCTGACTTCTTGATAATATTCCTAATCAATGCAAGACTTATTGGACTAATCTGTCAAATCTAAGGAGTCACATCTTCCAAGAAATTTCAGGAGAGTCCCTGCTCACTCACTGCTGTCGCATCAAACTTTTCCAGTATCTACAAGTTCACTTTCATACTCACTGATGAATAAATCGATGGCTACCTGCGAGGTAGAAAACAAATCAACAAACTCCCATTTTGTGATGGATGGCATTAACTTCAAATGTATATGATTTGTAGTTAATGGGCTAAAACAGTTCATTCAGGCATATCACTGGGGAAAAAACAACCTTATATAATAATGGACCCAATATGTTGCATACATTACCATCATAGTATCATTATTTAACTATGTTTATTTCCACTGAACATTCATTCATCACACTTCTATAGTACATATGCTTGAGCTCCGAGTGCTGCTGATCTGTAGATGGACAAGCAAGTCCGTGGGCTAATTTCAGACACGCTGCAGCAGAAAGCAAAACTGCCTCTGAAAATTAGAAGCAGGCTTCTGCTTGATGAGAAGACGGCTAATGCTGGTGACACATTTACTGTTGTTCATTGGAATAGATTTATAATACTGGCAGATGTCTGATATAATCACATCACAAGTCGATACAGCAAACTTGACAAAACTTAACTTCATATGTCAGGAGTTTTGAGTCTCTAATGAATTCCATCAAACACAGTGTTAAAAGTTTGAGTGTCAGTGTAAAGAGGGGACAGTGTAGTTGAAGAGGACAGAGGCAGAAAGAGTTCTAATAACTTCTTGTCCAGAGGAACACCTTGGTCCTGAAGATACAGAGGAGAAAAGAAGCTTTAAGGAGCTGCGAGTAAGTGTCTCTATCTGTGCAGGAACCGCAGGTGGCTGGGTCAAGTGGGGGCCCACGGCTGGGAACAGAAGATAGTGAATTTGGAAAGTTGTGGGAGAGCGTTAGCAGGATCATAACACGGTGAGAACAGAAGGCAAGTTTCAGGAGGAAGCTGGGTGTCCCAGTTCGATTCAGTGAAATGCAAGAAAATTCAATCCAAGTGAGCAACCTCCATATAAACAAGCAGAGAAGACACTGGGGTTATAACTTTTTCTGTCTGTGCCCTGCAGCAAGACAAAAACTCTACAAGGATAATAACAGAGTTTTAGAAAAGGAAGAAATACATACAGAATACAGTTTTAGAACAGAAAGGAAAACTCATCATTTGGAAAACTGTTGTTTATGTGGGGACTGACCACAGGTGATTTCTCGAAGCTGAAAGCAGCAGGTCATTTCGGTAGGAAAGCTCAAAGAAAGGAGCGCTAAATATTTGATGTGGCCATTCTGCTGGAAATTAACATTGGAAAAGATGAAAGCAACAAGAACGACAGGTGGCCAAGGGAAAAAAATATAACATGCTATTAAATCCAGAGAAAAAGTGTATGCAAAGATTTAGTGATCCAAATCTTGAGGTTTAAAAAGTTAAATTAAAGATGATCTATTTTACTCATGTCCAGCTCTGTATTTCTATTCTATGACTCCTCTGCAGAAGCTTTTCCATGATTCACAGTCTTTTTTTTTTTTAATCTCAAGCTGTCTGTTATGTAACCCCTCAGTTGACCCTCTGACCGAAACAGGCAATATTTGCTCAGGCCTCTGTAAAAAGCCCAATTTCTACAGATTGGCCGAACAAGCCTGCAAGGGGCAGCCGGCCCTTACCAGCACCACCTCATCCTCTTATCTGTGTGGAGCTGTGGGAATAATCGATTGGAAGTAGCAACTCCTCAAATCCATCCGTAGACTCAGAATATGAGTGGACAGCAACATCCGCAGTGAAGAATCCTACTGCAGGACTTCTCTGCTTGGTAAATACTATCCCCACTATCTGCTTACTGTGTGACTGTGGATTCAGTCCTTCAATCACAATCTGTCTTAAAACACTTTAATTTATATTTTTTCTATTTATGATCCTGTTAAGAGTTGCTCAACTTTTCAGTGGGGATGCTCGGACATTAAGGGTTTCCCTATTAATGTGCCAATCGCCACAGGTTAGTGAAGTGGTGGTACATGAAGAAGAGGCTTTAAATCTTGTTAAAGATCTGGATCCTCGGGTGGATTTTTTCTTTTTCCACTTTATTTAACATTGGGCGTTTTCAACAGGTTATTCAGTGGAATCTAATCTATGAGTGTGTACAATTTCTTACAGATCTAAATTGAAAATCAGGATTTGGTGAGTTTAAATGTGGTCATACAGGGGAACTGATAGGATTTTATAAAATTGAAATAACCAGGACAACTTTGAGGCCATGAAACCTTCACACTTCCTCTGACAATAATCGTGGCACCATCATTTCATGTCATGACATCCCTCAGGAGACCATCACCTCCTGACTGTGACGAGGGAGAGACCACCAACAGTTTTAAATCCTTAATGAGCACCAGAAGAAAACCATCAGGCACTTACCACCGGGCCTTCATTCCAGGACACCGGGCCTTCATTCCAGGACACCGGGCCGGTAGTTGCGGTGGGTTGTGGAGACGCCAGTGGTTCTCTGGTAGTTTGGTAGTTTCTGCTGCTCCTCAGACACTTCATCAGACACACAGCAGAGAACTGCGCTGATACAAAATGGCACCATCACGGAGTTGATAGTTAACCTGTTGCTAGCATCGTCTCCAGCCGTGTTAGCTTCCTCGGTAGCTACAGGTGTTCCTCCGCTGCCTCCTCGCCTCCTCCCTCCGGTCTCCTCCTGCTCGGTGAAGCGGTGTCGGTGTCTCACCTCCACAGTCGCTCTCCTTTTCACCGAGTCTCCACACGACGACGTTTTTTTAGGAGTTATAAAAAAAAAAAAAACGAGCTAATGCTAAAACTCTGCTGAAGCTAACAGGAAGTGGTCATGAGGTCAAAAGTTCACCGCGTGCGCTGCAGTCATTGGCTGATTCAGAGCTCTGTTTTTTTTTATATAAGTATAAACTTTATTGACCAAAATGTATAAATCACTACTGACATCAATTAAACAGCAATGAATAATATTCACTCATTAATAATAACATTACAATATGATAGAATAAAACATGAATGAGGAAAGATCATTTAAAAACTGGAGAGTACAGGATTTAAATAAAATAAAATAAATCCGATTATATGTGTTGGCTTTCTGTTTTTTGATTTAGAATATTTGTATTGATGTCATTTAAATATTAGAAAAGAGAGAGCTCAATGTCCTGCAATTTAAAAAACAACACTATCAATTTGTCGACACGGAAATGTTTCCAGGGGACCCAAAGAAAGTGATTTTGTGGGTCCCCTGGAAACATTTCCGGTGTCGTTTCCACTATTTGCATGTGTTGTGACTTTTTCCAGCAACTGCGTCGTCAAATCGATAGTTTTTTTTCTTAATTTACATGATTTTTCTATTTGCAAGTGTTTTCTGAATTTGCAGTGCTTTGAGTTCTCTGACACCATAATTCACACATTAAAAATAAATAAATAAATAAACCCCAAAATGTTCTGATGCCTTTTACATGAGTTTACCACATTTAAAACTGTGTCTAATTTATATCTATGAGAGAAATTATAAAAGGACCCTTCTAAGCTTCAGGTTTTTGCTATTTGCCAGAAAAAAAAACATTGAATACTCTTTGATGACAGAAAATCCAAAATGCCTCAAAAATGTCATGAATTGGCAAGAAGGAAATAACATAACACCCCAAAATGAAGCCTGTGCTTACAAGTATTACAAATATATTTCAAGCTTGGTATTTCTACCTGTGACTGCAGTGCCACATTTCCAGACCTCTCTGGGCAGAGCTGGATTATCAAAAGAAGCTGGACTGTGTATCCAAAGCATCACATGTTTCAATATGATCTTCATCATCCATTAAAAGATGTCAAAATGAATGTGCCCCATTATGGAGCTCTGACAGAGCTCTGATGCTAATGGTAGTGCTAATGGTAGAGGAGGCTCTTTTGAAAAGAAAGAACATCTGCCTCTCATGCAGTCTGGGTAAATTCTTCTTCTATTTGGCATCAGTCTTATTTTCTTTTTTTCTGGCATGCTGCTAAAGACATTTGTCACATAGAGACATCACCTGAATGGAGTGTGTCACTGGATATTGAAAGATGGTAATATGGTGTGTTTTGGAGGAAAGAAAATGAGCGACTGACTGTAGAAAGCACTTTAGGCTGTTACACGTCACTTGTAGGTGAATCTTTGCTTATTGAAAGTGTTACTTGTATTTTCTGATCATTACCTGTAACACAATCACTCACCTGCTTATGTCATGAGTCGTGGCTGCTTCCACTTCTTCAGGAGAGACTTAAAGTACGGAAAAGTAAAGTAAATTCAACTAAGACTTTGATTTGTTTTAATACCACTGACCTTTTTTGACTTGGATTGATTCAGTGGTGTGTGTTAGTGTTGTGCAGTGATTGAGAGGCTGTGCTTTAAATCAATCCGAGTGCACCGGGTGAGATACAAAGGTCAAATCTGTGTTGGGTTAAGTGTCCTATTATAGCAGCACTTTCAGCTGGAGAGCACAGTATTAAATATTTTAATGACCAGACACACATCAGAGGCTGTGGCATGCAAACAGATTGTTCTTGAAGCGAAACAGATTTATCGTGAGTGCCTTTCTGCCATTGTTCACTTTTTATTAGCTGCTCGTAGCTCGTCAGTTGTGAAGGGTCGTTCCTCATAAAAGCAAACTGGTGTCATCTGTGCAGCTTCGTACTGTTGCCATGACTCCTGACTGTCCATCTTGTTACGAAAGACACTCACGATCACGTCTGCGTTTACTTTTGGACATAGTTTTTGTCAGGCAAGACACAGACAGACAAAAGGCTGCATTGACGCGCTGTGAACACAGACACAAATGCAGCACGACAATTTAAAAACTCCACGATGAGTGCACTGCTCACTCTGAGACAAGCCACGCTTTGATGAGTTGAGTACATGTTCGGACTTCATTGAATCCCTCTCGTCTCTGAACAAATCACTTCCTCATTAAAAGTCCATGACAGCCTCAGAAACAATCACAGTCTGTTATAAACAATCAGTGAGATGTTAATATCATGTATGTGCTGAGCTGAGCATGACGACTCAAAGACATGCGACAAAGTGCCTTTCAATAGAGATGTGTTCTCCTACTGATGTAGTGTAAGTGCTTTTCAATGGAGATCTGACCACTTAGCTGTCACATGAAACATCTCCTGTCCATGTGAGCTTACACAAAAGTGACCACATCCGATATGAATCTTATTATGTTATGGTTTGCTTGTATTTGGTAACCCCCCCGGATTTCCTAAACTGATTTTCCTAGGATGGGAGAGTAAATTGATTTCAACTTGACTTATTATGTCACTAGGCTGAATTCTACTGTGTTTGTTTTTATGACGAAGCAATTATCAGGGTAAAGTTTGTTTGCATGATCTGAGGTTTCTGTTTGGCTCAATCACAGGTGTTGTCATAGATACGTGTTACTTTTAAAAACGTTACCTAATCCTAAATACATCATGAGACCCTGCAGAGGAGAGTTTTCAATCATGGACGTTTTAACATGGAGTAAAAAAAAAAAAGTTTGGGGTCGTGAACACTGGGTTGAATTAATGCTCGCCTCTGTGTGTCCTAGAGGTCGACTATCAGAGTCTGTCATCTGTGGCCAATCAGCCCTGCAGCCACATACTGGTACATAGCAAGTCCATCAGATACTAATTTAAGCTGGAAAAGGACAGAACCCCCCCGAACTACACACTCTGCGCCTCGGAAGTGTCCGGTCAAACTTATTTTGCCTCATCACACACAGCAGAGCTCGTGGCTTTGACAAGTACACGCAGAGACACAGCTCACCAGACATAAGTACGTAAACTCAGACACAGACACACACACACTCCCCCTATCGCTCTGACTGGTTCTCGGTGTGCTGTGTTCTGCCGGATCTCAGTGTGAGTCTCAGTGTGTGTGTTTTTTCCCCCTTCTTGTTTTCCAGGCGGCCATCTCTGCTCAGCCCCGCCATCTGTTCTCCATGCTGTGGAACACGGCGCTCCCTCTGGCTGCAGGCGTTTGGAAATGGTGGCAAAAATTGTCAATTGGAGTAAAAAAGATACTCAGTTGTGCTTCAGACGGTGACTGGGACGGTTTTCTGAGACAGGTCAGTCCCTCTGAAAGTAGTTTTCCTATATCTTGAGTGTGTTTATCACTGTGTTATGTGGTGATGTTTTTGTCCAATTTTGTGTTTTGTGGTTGTGTGGGTGCTTACGTCTCCTTATAGGTTGTATAGTCATCCATCTCATAGGAGGATAATAAAGAGAGTCGTGGGGTTTTTTGTTGTATGTTGGGTTCCCATAGTAAAGAGAGTGGTGACTTCTTCCATGTTACAAGATGGAAGTCGAAGTGATTTTGTTAATTGGTTAAGTGTGTAGTTACGTTTTTATGTCTAGGTACATAAAGCAAGGAGCATGGTGTCCAATCCGTCCCGTCTCCAACACACACAGTAGACGACACAACAAACACAACTGGAGAGATTCATCTGACCATCCAACAAGCAGCACAGAGGGAATGTAAAGAACATGTAAGAGCAGAGAAGCTACACGGCTGAAAGTCTTTCTGTGTGGAGTTTGCACGTTGTCCCTGAGTTTGTGTGAGCGTGATAAACAGTAGAATGGATAAATGTGATCTGACTTAGTTTTAAATCTGTTAAAAAAACACACACACACAAACAAAAACACAAAAAAGAACAGCTGCATGAACAAGGACATATCCCTGCAACCATATACACACACACAAACACAAACACAGACACACACATTCTGGAGGTCCACTGAGTCTCCCATCTGGTGAACTAACAGTCCAGGTTGGTCTTAATGAGAAATAATGAGCCTTCACTAAATAACAGCTTGGATGGATTTCATCTCCAATTCAGATTTTATTAGAATGTTATTCATAGAGTTACAAAATTCATTCATGTTTCAACATTTTCACACCATTTTTTAAACATCGCTGACTATTGGCACACTTAAACTTCATACAACACATTTATAGATCAGTTCATCATTATGTTACTAATGATAAGGTACAGACAAATCTCACTATGAAATGGATTTATATTGGAAAAGATGATTTTCCCACATCTCTCTGATGAAGACATACGTTTCAAAAACATTCGAACACAGGTCTTGATTGAACGGAGCTCAAAGGGAAAAGAAACTCATGTCTACCCATTTTGACATTCCCTCTAATAAATTAGAGCAATAATGAAATCTCTAGGCTACAAACAGCTGGCATAGCTGTCAGCAACAACACTAACAACCTCTGTGTGTGTGTGTGTGTGTGTGTGTGTGTGTGTGTGTGTGTGTGTGTGTGTGTGTGT